AACCACAACCTTAATGTGTATTTCCATTCAGCATTTAATTTTATAACTTAAAACTCAGTTACATTTTGTGTAGCTTGTGATTTTCTTTTTGATATCTTGATTTTTTTTTTTTTTGGTTACCTCTCCAATTTATCCAGCATCCCAGCAGTAACTGGCCAAGAGAAAGTAAGGGATTTAACCTTCTTAAAATTGACGTTGCTAATAGAAGTACTGCAGGGGTCAGCTTGTTTTACTGAAAAGAAATCAAGTGTGTTGCCTGAGCTCACGCTTCTTGTTTGGAATTGTCTTGTCACCGTATTTAAAAACAACACAATTTAGCTTGAGGTGGAGGGGAAATTTTTAATTTTTATTTTTAATTATTACTAAAAGCTATGGTTGTGTTTATCTCTTAAGTCTACAGCATGGGAGGGTTATTTAAGGCTGTATAGTTAATGTTGTACTGAACTCTGCGTTTGATATTTTAATTGATAGTGGTATCAAGGTTATTCTCCTTATGCCCCCCCCTTAATAAGCTGCATAGACATTTATCATTTGTTTCAGTCTGCATCTTAGGTTTGAATCCTTCTTTAAATACTAGAACATAGGATAGAAGCAACCCAGTCTTTTTTCCTCCCTGTGTCAGTATCCTGGAGGTATCCTTCTGGTGCTTTACTGTGCAATCCATGCTTGGTTTGGTGATAAATAAATCCCTTCTTCAAAACAGGTTAAACCGCAAGTGGAATTACATTAAAATAATTCATAAGACAGTGAATTAATTGTGGTGTATGCATTCTGTTCATAACGCAGAACACCTTAAGAATGAAGTAGTATTTGAGTTATCAAATGCAGGTTCGAAAGCTGAGATCTGGAACAACTTTCTGAAAAACCTGATGCAAGCTGGCTGGTTGTATAGTGCTTGCTTTCCTTCTTACCTGTCAGACCCATTAGGAAAAGAAGACTAGGTGAAGACTTGGACAGCTTCATTTTCCTTCTCGAATACAATATGGAAAGCTAAATATACACAGTATTTTCCCACTCCTCTTTCTTATAGTCAGTTTAGTTTCCATAGTAATGTTAAGCAGTGATCATAGGAGCTCATGAGGCAGTTTCTCCTGATTAAACAATCGAACTGGAAAACTCTGATGTAAAAGGTGACTGTTCCCCTCTTCTTCCCTTACCTGCCCCAGTATGTGTACATGTATGTGCACGTGCACACACACTTAACTTGCTGGGTAGGCTGCCTCCTTCGTTGGTGTGGTAGAGGTTTCCGTCGTTTCCCATTGCATGCTGACGATGAGGAATCAAAGAACTCTTCCAATTGATTCAAATGCAGTCACTTTTTTGACACTAAGATTTAGTGCTGTATGACTGTTTTTCCTTGCTTAGTTAGAATGCTAATTTGAAGTAGTCCTACGTACCTACAATACATGTTTTTTCATATTGCACTCATTTGTTAATTCTGTACTCGAGACAGATAGGATGGTGTAGACCGAACATGAGCAATAAATGTACGCTTACAAGCTGATCTGAAATCTCCAGTTTTAGATGGGATTGTTGCTGGGTTTGAAGATGGCAGACTCTAATGCTCCTTTTCACACGAAAAAATGTGAGGAGTAAATGGATTAAAAAAGTGCAACAAGTATTATGTGAAATAGAAGTGGCAATATCTTCTGTGCCGTGAAGGTATGCCGTGACATTTGGTTCGTCTAAGAAATCTGAGTAATCTAATGGGGCTGTGGGAGAGAAAAGAAATGACTCAAAGAAGAAATGTTAAGCCAAAACCAAAATGTCAGTGAAGAGTTTTTTGCTCAGAAAAAAAAATGTTCAGCGTTGAATTTCAAGGTTTATTTGCATAGTTTTGCTTTCACTGAAACAAAACAAAATGTTACTTGTATTTACCTGTTTTTTCTTTCTGTTCTCAAAATCAGGAGTATAGATTTTTCCCCAGCTGTTAAATTAGTGATGTTACAATTGTTTTGTTAGAAACAAAACTATGTTCAGCAACAATAAGAAATATTACGGGTGTCTAAGGTTCGCTTCTCACTTCTTCTTTTTTTTACCGTGAGGGTGCCTGAGCACTGGCACAGGTTGCCCACACAGGTTGTGGAGTCTCCATCCTTGGAGGTACTCAAAAGCTGCCTGGACACCATCCTGGGCAACCGGCTCTAGGTGGCCCAGCTTGAGCAGGGGGGTTGGACCAGGTGACCTCCAGAGGTCCCTGCCACCCTCAGCCATGCTGTGGTTCTCCAGAAGTCTGCTCCGTGTGTGTGCGTGGGGGTAATTCTGTACCTTTTGTTCCTTGCAAATACCAGCTGTTTGACAGATACACTAATGTACGTAACTGTGAGCTAATGTGCCTGGAACATTAATGTTTTAATAGGGCACAGTCTTATGGGTGCCTAATTGAGATTAAGTATTTACCTATATGCTTTAAGCACCTTGATTTTTTTTTTTTTTTCCTTTGTTCTGGACTGTTACCAGGTATTCATTAGTGCCTATGGCAGAATGTTTCTATCTAGTCACTTCACTGAAGTTCTTAAAAATATTACTATTTTACTATTTTTAAGTGATCATCAGTGTGTGAATCCTGTTGTGTGTGTGCTGTGTAATATAAAACTTGTTCTGCCGTTGGAGTGAACTGTCAGTCCTGCTTTTCAATACATACATGAGACTGCAGTATTGCTGGTGTATGACATGGGTGTGGAGATAGGTGTAGCTAGTGAGAACAGAAGGAGACTGATCCAACTTTCTGGGAATCAAAGATTATTCAAATTAGCATGGAAACCATAAAATGGAGGAGGCTCATTAGGCAGCTAACTGGCTTTTTCTGGAGTTTGTGCCAATGGTACTTTTGGCCAAAAGCAATGGTTACCTCTGAGTACTTGCTGTAGTACTCGTTTTTTTGAGAGAGAATGTTATTTGTATTGTCTTAATCTTACCTGTCTTCAGAGAACACTTGCAGTAAATATGAAAAAATGTTATTTACAGTTGACTGTCTCCATCACAGTGTATTTCTTGTTTATTTGTTTTGACAATTGTGCTACTCCATCCAAGGCAGGAGGACTTGGTGTTTGGGTCACCATGTAAAATGAAATATTTTCCAGGTTTGTCCAGAAGAATCTGTTGCTGTGAAACTTGAAGTCAGAGAGGCTGAGATTTGTGCATGTGTCTCGTAGTAGGAATCCACTTTCTTTTTTCAAGTAAGGAATCCACTTTCTGTGGTTAAGGCTTTCAGAAACCCAGGAGGTAGCTTTATATTTTCCTCTGCCTAGGAGAGGAAAGGAGTCTTCAAGGTTTTTGGAAAGCTAGAAGATCTTTGTGCATGCATCCTTGAATGTTTTGAGTTTTTTCTTTTAATCCTGTGACTTTCTTCTGTTGTAAAGTGAAAGCTCTATATCAGTGCTCAGTACTTAGACTGTAATCTGTTTCCTAGTAACTTACTGCTCGAGTTCAAAACTTTAATATTAAACATGTGGCTATTTAATCTTCAAATAGATATATTTGCACACCTTCAAAATAACTCATGGAAGACTGAAAGCTAGTTTCTGAGCACTACAAAAATAACATTTTAATAACTTTTAACAACCTCAAAGCCACTTTTATTATACACAAAATAAATTCTAGGAGTAAATCCATATCCTATCCGTACTACCTTTAATTTGAAATTTGGTGTTTGAGATCCTTTTTGGAGTTGGACTTAATCTGCCCACTCAGGCCTTAGGAATTTTGTGAAGGTCTGTTTTTTCCTTCGTGCTACCTTAGCCGTTCCGCAGGGGACTGATGCGGAGAGGAATTGGTGTGCTAGAAGAGATCAATGCTTACGGTTAGGATGCCTGAGGTCCTCATTCATGGTTGGGTGCAGTGGTTATGTAGGGAGCATAATTTTCAGGGTAAATGTCATTTAAAGGTTACCCTCTTGTGTTAAGCAGTGAGGGAGGAGGTGATAAAAGTAGACAAACAGTAAAGTAAAACAAACTTTCTGCTTTTAACTATAAGGTAGACTTTTCAGTGGAATATGCCCAAGTTGGGGAGAACCGGTGTGAGAAACAAGAGTGGGTTTGCTTGTGGAGATGTACACTGGCAAATGAAGAAAAATAAAAGTAAAATTGTTATATGAACAGCAATCTGATGGTCCCTTAATGGCAAGGATGTCTGAAGAATGCATCCCAATAGCTCTATTGCTTGAAATTAGTAAAATTAGTGTTAAAAACACCAGTTAAAAAACCCTGAATATGGTTTTCTGTATTATTTGGTATGTTTACATTTGCAAATCTAACGCTCAACTCTGAGAGCGTTGTTACGTTTTTCGATTCAAGGGCAAATGCTGTGATAGAACCTTGTAGCCCTGTGATTTGTGCGTGTTGTAAGCGAGACGTACGGGTTTCATTCAGCGCAGAGCGTGCAGAGGTGGGAGGTGATGGATGCGGCTGCAGCAGTGTGCGAGCAGTACTGCCAGCGTACGCTTGAGGGCTCTGAAGACTGTGAGGAACGGTGCAGAAGCAATCGCAGTTGAAGAATGTATTTTAACTAAATTGGTGCATTGTACCTGCGCAGGGTTTAATGCTTGCCTGGACCATTTGGCTATTTGCCATAATTGGCTTTCCATTCCCTTGATTGGAATCATAGATAAAAATTTGCTAATCCACTTTCTTTGCTGAAAGTATTAGGAAAGTAATCCATCTTTTAAAAATGCTCGAACAAAATCATATGGTATAAAGAATACTTTATGGAATAATGAGATTAATGAGAACTGTAAGGCATACACAATTTAGAACATTTTTCTATGGTTTTAAGGGGAAAAACGCAATCTGGGCACTATAAAGCCGTAAGTACTTCCTTTTTTTATGCACTGCCTTTTAAATGTGCATTACATGTTAAGCTTTTGTCTACATGATTAAATGTGATTATATATTTAGGAAGAAGGAACTGCTGTTTATTTGTATTTTTTCTTATGTTTGAAAATACCTGATTCAAAGTTCTTGGCTGTGTTTTTTCCTCCCTCTCCCCTCTTCTGCCCACAGGGCATCAGAGCACGCATTTTGGAAACCCTTGTAATGCTTATTCTTCTTGCACTGCTTATCCTTGGAATCGTATGGGTGGCTTCGGCACTCATAGACAATGATGCTGCCAGTATGGAGTCTTTGTATGGTATGGAATTTAAAAAACCACCGCACTAGTTTCATTTTAATCATGGAAATGGATGTTTTCAACTAAATGTATTTCTAGTAAATGCTATGTGAGTATTGCACAGGTTGTGAAGTTGTATTAATTTGGTCAATACCATTTTTTCTGTTAAATACGTTTTTAGCATGCTGAGAAGTTCCGTGCTCATGTGGAGACGAGGTGTGTTAAAAACAAGTGACTTAACTGATAAAAGCTGAAGATATTTTCCAAGCTAAAGTACTTGGGGATTTAGTTGCCTGCAGGATTATTACATAATTCTTAGTTTGAACAATTGTATTTTCAAGTATAATCTTGAATGCTTAAGAAAAGAGGTTATGTCAGTTGTGTTTGTGCCATAAGTAGCCTATTTGTAATAAGCTAAGGCTGTGCTTAATATTTTCTTTACAGACCTCTGGGAATTCTACCTCCCGTATTTATATTCCTGTATATCACTGATGGGATGCTTGTTACTTCTGTGTAAGTATTTTCCTGATTATTCCAAAAGATGAATGATTTTAATTTTTTTTTAAAGATTAAAGGAAACTGTTTTTCATTGTGAAAATTAAGATTGTGAAAGTTAAGAGTGTGAAAATGGCTTTTTTAATTTTTTTTTTTTCCCCCCATTCTTAAGTTTAAATTTAGATGTAAATTTGTTAGGTTTGGGTTCTGAAGTTTGTGAACAAATGCTACCTTACACTTCCAGGTTTTGAGGAACTTCACACTTCACCCTAAATAATTTCAATTTTTAACTTTTTAAAGCAGGTATTTGAAAAATAGGCTCCATTCTGCAAAGAAAAGCACAATTTTTAAATGAAATACCTGTAGGAGGTTAGTAGTATGGAAAGTTATTTTGGAACACTTAGTTTGCCCTATATTCAGTAAATGGTCCTGCTTCCTTTTTTAATTGAAAGTCTTCCTGTATAGACAAAAGTTGGAACACAGTGCAATTCACTTTAGTAGTGACAAAACTGGTAGCTGGTCAGTCTGGAGGTCAGTTACATGGTTGCATATAAAACAAATGCAGTAAAACTCCCAACCTTATACTGACTAGTCCTAGCCAGAGTTCAATCATCCATGTTTAGGGGAATAAGAAAGATGATGGAAGGCTCTTACAATTTCAGCCCTCGTCCACTTACAATTTCAGCCCTCGTCCCCCCCCCCCCCCAATTATTTTATCAAAATCGCTGAAAAGTGGATCTCTTGCAATTGGGGTACTGTCAGCAGATACGAATGGGGCCAGAAAACACCTTAGCAGCAAATGAAAGATTTCTTCTGCATATAGTAATGCTGGGGAGGGGGGCTTGTAATTTCTAACGCTGACCTCTCCCCTTTAAATTTCCCCCCCCCCCCCCCCCCCCCGCCCAATAATTTCTAGAAAACTGCTGAGAGGGGGACAGAACAGCTCCCTTTCTAGATTATTGTGGTTTCCCTGGTTCTCCAGGTGTTACAGGTTTACAGCTAACACTACAGGGCTGTCACTGTGGAGGAAGGGTGGGGAATGATAGTTTGAAGCTTCCTTAAAATTCAGCAGATCTGTCTCTGAACGGTGTTGCTCACAGAGACCTGGGTGAGTCTCCTGAGGTTCTCTGTATGTGGAGATTCTCAAATCCATGTTAATGGGTGGGTGGTGTTTAAAAAAAAAAAAAAAAGTGGTTCTGAATGTCTCATGTATGCTGTTCAAGAGTGTCATTCACAACAGTTGCTGAATGTTTTAATTGGGAAGTTGGCTTACAAACTTCCTACATCTGTCTTGCAGTTTGTTTCAGCACAGATGAAAACACACGAGTGTGTTCTGGGGCTATTGTGAACCAGCTCACCAAAATAATTGGGTTTAAATGCCAATTTTTGGAAGAGTTATTTGTAATTTATACAAGCAAATCACTGATGTTACTTAAGGCCCTCCAAGCTGTTCTGCCTGTGTAGCTGAAAGGGTAGCATACAGCAGTGGGAAAGTAGTAGAGCTTCACTAGATCTTCAGCTGGCTTAATTGCTGAAGCAGTCTATGAGTAAGGCTTATTGCAGTGGTGATTTGGAGTATCGCTTCCTTTCTCTTTTCTCCTTTTTCTGCAGGCTTCCTCTGTAGTAAAGGAAGACTAGCTTAAGTTAGCCTTCTTGAATAGTCTTGTATTTTTCCTGTAATATGTGGTAGCGATAGTGAAACACTAGTTAATAAAAATGAGTTTAATCCTCACTATAAAATCTCGTGTGCTTCTCCTTTTTTTGACAACACTGTTTTATTGTAACGGAAACTGTAAATGTATATCCTCATCCATGCTGTTACAAATTCCTTCCATCTCCTGCACACTTCAGTATTTGAAGGCTGTTCTCCCTAAACTGTTGATTTCTACTAATAATTTTCTATTATCATGGTTTGAGCCTTTTTCCCAACAAACGTATGCACCATACCTGGAAACCATCACAGGCTACGATCAAAAAGGGCCAATTGTTATTTCATAGAAAAGTAGCTTAAAATCTGGTAGCAGAGCCTACTATCAACTGAAGTTGCAGTATAACTTTCAGAGCAAAGCAGCTTCATGATTCTCTTGACCTTACAGCTACACCTGTGCTAATAGATTAAATGTGCTTGAGATGTTCTCCAGTGCTGTGGCCAACCAGTGTCGTTCCACCCGTGATCTGCAGTTTGCAGAAGGTGGCTGTTGTAGGTATTGCCTCATGACAATGGTTCCTGGACTGTATGAACTCCAGAACTGCACCTGGGAATTGTTTGGGAAAGTGCTAACTGGCCCAGGGCAAATCATGCCAGGGATGGTTGTAGCAGTTTACTGGTGTAGACAATCAAGTCTTAATGCCCAGGAATGTATCCTGGCACTGCTGAATTTACTAGTGTAGACATAGCCTCTGGTGCCACATGCTTTGAATAAATAATTACTTGAGCAAGTTTAAGATATCTGATGATATGGTGTTCCTTGTTGACAAAAAATCAGTTATGCTCTTGGAGGGGGGAGGTGCTTGTTTCATTCAGAATTCTTATGATAGCAATGTGATTTAAATTCCATATTGGAGTTTGAAGCTCTTGCAGTTCTCTTCAAAACCATACTTGGTTATATGTGGAACAGCACATTGAACATCCAAATAAAAATTGATCTTTGACTTCCAAATCCCTGTTTTGCATAATCTTTCTTCCTCTGCAGTATGCACGCCAGTGGGACTTTCACGGATGTTTACAGTAATGGGTCAGTTGCTGGTGAAGCCAACAGTAAGTGTTACACAAATCTGTCCTCGCGTGCTATCTGTTAGAAGGCAGAATGGCATTAGGGTACTTCCTCTTAGAGTGGTTGCACTTCCACATAATTCTCTCTCCAGTTCATCAGAGTTTCTATAGTCAATAGTTATGTACTTGTTTAAAATTTTTTGTATAGCACAAAAGCCTGGTTTTTTTTCCACAGAAAAAGTTTTTTTTAATAGTATAGGCTTTCTTTGATTTTCCAATTTATATAACTGCTACTAGTATTAATATTTACTGCCAGAATTGCCTACTATGTCTGTTTTGCTAATGCCTGAAAAGTGGGGGCTTGTTCTGAGTTCAGGAGCAAAGGATACAAGACCGAACTAAGGCTGGATGATGAGAAGGGTACCTGGGGGTACACTTAGATGGGTGAAATGGAGGTAGTTGGCATCTCTGAGAACTTGTTCTACACAGATGCTCTGCTGTGCTTGTACTGAATGCTGTGAGGGAAGGGAGAAGTTCGTACCATGTGCAAGTGCTCTAGTGACTTTGCTGTCAAGTTTCCTAGTTTGTATTTACTAAAATTTGGGTGCTCTTAGGTCTTGCGTTCCTTTTCATTAATCAGTTCAGTCCTGAAAATCCAGAAAAAATATATAGTGTTCTGCTAACTGTAAGCTTTAAACTCAAAGCAGCTGATAGTAAGGTAGACGAACTTAACTTATTTGTTTTCAGCTTCCAATAGCAATTTATATTTGCTTGAAATATTGGTTTATGTGAAAACTCACCTTTTAATATACTTTTTCAAAATCTGCAGTTATTTTTGTTTAAATCAAGTTGAGTGTGAGGGTTGAGAGGTTGTTAATTTTTTCCCTGATGATTTGAATATAGGTCAGATGTACTGTCCCTTCCCCTGTTCCCTAAGTCTCTTTAGATTGAAACTGAACATAAGAGCTTCAACCTGAAATGAAAACTTAACAGAAAGTTTGCTTACAGTAAAGAAATAGATCTGTAAGAGAATGGATGGAATAATCTTCTGTGGAGTTCTTATTTGTATCAGTATTGTAAAGTTGTAGACTATATATTTAAAATACAGGTTACTAGAACAAAACAAACTTGACTAGATCAGTGCAGTCAGAAAAACAAGTGACTCTGATAGTCAGTTCCTGTTTTTCTTTCCAAATACAGATCCTTGAAGACCTAGATGAGCAGATGTATATCATCACTTTAGAGGAAGAAGCAATTCAGAGGAGGCTGAATGGTATGCTTGTTCTGGTACTGCTTCAGATACAGTATTTAGAGTAGAGCGCCTCTGGTCACGAGTATTGATCTCACTGTTACATAGCCTCTTCTCTCAAAATAGAAAATTTTAACATCTTCGTATGAAACAAGCATTATGGGCTTACATTTCATTGCTCACTGTGTTGTTCAAGATTGACTTGTGTGCATATGGTTTGCTTTGGTTTGGTTTTTAACATGTTCATCAGCTCTAATACGTGAGTAATCTGAGACTGAGAAGGCAAATTGAGTAGTTGACCAGACCCACCACCCTAACTGCAAAATAGTTTGGATTGGTAAGTGACTGTATTTTAGCCTTGTCTGAAGAACAATGAACTTGTATCAGCAAGAGGCTCAACTTCCTCCATTATGAGTTTCGTTTTTTATTTTTTCTGTTTCAGTTCATTGTTATTTAGACTCTTAGGTAATAATTCATTAAACATCAGAGCAGTCCTTTATATTCTAGGAGCTATTTGGTGAATTTAATAATTTTAATAATTCTATTAATGAATAATTGCAATGAATAGTTATACAAATGTTTTAGACCTCTTGTATTTAGTATTACAATTTTGCACTTCTTGATAAGGTGTTTCTGTTTTGAAGTATTTCAAAAGCAGTATGGAGCTTTGGCTTCTAAGAGTAAGAGTATTGCAGCATGGCGGGCACCAGTTATGGAGAAAATATCAATTCCATAAACCTGGAAATCATATTGTACAAATTCTCTTCTGAATTGCTTTTAACTGCATGGATAAGCCATCCATCCACAATTTATACAATTACTTCAGGTTGGAAAACCAAAGAATATTCATGTCATGACACATCCATTCTTCTTTTGTCTTATGACTTATTTTAGCCTTAATTTTCTTCATTTCCTGCCTTTCTCTCTTACTCTTCAGTCTTCTGTCATGTACCTCAATCTTTTCTTCTTTCAAGTCTCAGTAAGTCTCCTTTCAAAGTTGCGTGGTCAGGGAAAGTACCTTTGATAACAGTAGCTCATGGTGGTCGTCTTTTATTCCAGCTTTTAAAATTTGTGGAGGAGTAGTGACTTCTTTGTGCTGAAATCAGCCATGGTTTCAGTTTAAAAATAATGTTCACCTTTGTTTTGGAAGCTTAGGTTTTTACACTGACACGCGTATACATATACATACAGGCATGCAAAAAAATGCATGCGGTGAACGTCTTTGAAGCTGTGATGGGGTAATTAGAATTGTTCTGTGTGATGTTAGCTAGCAACTGTAAAATATTTGTTACTGAATATTTTATGTTGTCATAGTGATTGTGCTTGTGTACGAGAAAAGTGATACAGAAAAATGACCCAATAGTTATTCAAGTATCTATTAGAAGTAGTGCAGAGTGGTTTCCACTATGCAGGTGGAGAATGTGATTATCTAGGTGACGACTGTCTGCTGTTTTTCTGCGTAGAAGTCTATGCAACAGTTGTTTATATTGCAATTTAGTAATATCACTCTTGAGGTGGACCTAGCCTGTTTGCAGGCATCTATTAACTGGATCTGGATTTAGGAGGTGTGCAGGTCGCTCCCCTAACCGTCAGCTGGAAGACTGGATTCTGTTTCAGCAAATCAGTTAGTATTCAACTTGAAGTGGAACTGCAACCCCCGCAATGTTCCACAGAGCTCTCACCAGCCTACTCTTGAGAGGTGAAAGATGTGGGGCTTAAATGTCCTTTGACAGGAGAGGGAACTCAATTCTTCTGTTTCACATGCTGAGGGAATGGTATTGACACCACCATCTGAAGGAATGCTTGAAAACCCGTAGTTTGGTGTACAGAGAAAATCAATGGACTTAAGCTGAAAAGTAAATAAAAATCTAAGCTTGGATAGAGCATGTAGATGGAGGGCAGTATGTTATATGCACAAGAAGATACTCTGCAAGATTTCTGTGAGTAATTATTTAAGTAATTTTAAGTATGGTTCTCATTTATGTGGCAAGCATGGAAAGCTTCATCTTCTTTGCCAGAAATCTTTCTAATACATACAAATTATGCCAGGAAAATATATACCATTTTTGCCAGAACTATAAAGACTCATGCATATCATGTTTATTGCATTTTTAAAAAAATGTATACAAATGGAGGTGTGGTGCTAATTACATCAGTAAATGTAGTGCTGTGATGTTAGAGGTCATAATCTGTGACTTAACGCACAGATTGTATTTTTGTTGCTGGATCGGAGTAGATATATTAGGCTACACACTTCCCATGCCATGGCTATGGCAGCTCTTCCACAGTTGCAGCAGTGGAAATATATGTGCTTAAGTAACCCTGCTGGACAGTTTTGCAGTAAAGTGTTCTGAAATATATACTCCATTTATATTTATAACCAAAGAGTTGAATTTTTATTAAAACTGAAGAGGACTAGAGCACAGGCTTAAGCAATACTTGGTGATTGCCGATGCCGATTTTTTCTTTTTTCTTGGTGGCGTAATGGCTGTTGCACTGCTAGCACTGCTCTGCCCTGTCCTAATTAACGTTTCCTCAGACAATGCCTGGACAGAGGAAGGGTGTAGCATGAATCACTGTTCCCACTGAATAGGCTGGGTAAAGCCTCTGTTTTCAGAGGAGGAAAAAAGTTTAGCTGTGTGAGCTGGTCCCCTTCTTGATTCATATAGATGTGAGTATTGTGGCGGTGATGCAATTGAAGAGCTTTACAGAACACTCTATCATATTTGGAAATAAATCTAACTGTGAAACTGCATATCTTCTTTGCGGAAACTAATTTTCTTCCTTCTCAGATGTCTACAGTGTGTAACTGAAAATCGGAGGAGGAGGGAGGGGAAAGTTTGATCGTGTTATCTACCCCAGTATTTTTATCTATTGAAGAGATACTGGGCTTTGGGAAAATGTTTGTTTCCAGTGTATTATATTTCAGTACCCACATCACTCCTACAGTCGAAGAATAAAGCTGGGACTTTTTTATATTAAAAGAAAAAAGTTGCCTTCAGCTATTAGTTTTCCTGAATCCAAAGAGACGGGTGGGGTAGGATCAAAAATACTTACTTGATCAAAGTTATTGGCTCTGAAGGTATCCTTACATAGGTAAGAAAGATGAAAGGTGTTGTTTTTATTGCACGCTAGTAACAGTGTAATTTTGAACTAATTGGTGTTGAACTGCCAATCACCTAGGGGGAATGCAAATAGATACTCTTACAATTTCCTTTGAGGTACTGAAATCTTATGTCGGGGCTGGAAGAAAAACAGAATAATACCGTTAAATTGACCTTAAATGAGCTGCTTTGTGGCTTTCTTGGAGAATCCCTTCTAACTTTTCATTGCTAGTCCAAACAAGCCTCGTCTACCAATTTGATTTATTGGCTAGACAGCGCTGACACTGAACTTTGTGCATGTTTGAAATAAAGCTAATGTTATAGAGCTTTTAAGAATTTAGCTGCATCCTTTTCAAATACGCTTTTGACTGATCTGAAACTTTGCCTTTCCCTCTCGTAAAATATCCTTTTGTATAGCAACCTGTTGTTTGCTACTATTTTTAAGGAGGAACTACAACAGCACTTAAATGTGATTCAGAATTTCTACTGAAGTGTCTCTTAGGGACCTAATGTGATCATGCTGACTTTGTTGGAAAGAATCCCATGAATATCAGTGTTTTGAGCTCTGGATTTTTATACTGAAGGGAGGAAACAACATATATCTTGAATTAAGCTTTTCCTCAGAGACCCCTAAATCAATTAGGGAGAAGAAGAAAATGGTCAGATGCTAGCTTGAGGTTTCTTGCTTCTTCAACTCCTTCCATTAAAGTTCTTGAGACTTTTCCCACTGAGCTCTATAGCTATCCTTTTTCTCAACTCATAGTAATTAGTCATTCCATAAAACAGATGTTTTAAACTTTTTTTTCAGAGGGAATGCATCAGCACAAAAGCTTATTTTCTATAACGATAATGAGATTTGGTTTTTTTTTTTTTCAACAAAAAAACTTTTTCTAAAAGCCCTCATAATATGATGACTTATTCAAAAAACACTGAGAAATTAAACTGACGTTTATATTGCAGGTACTTCAAGTGAATAGAAGTGGTTGCAAAACAGCAGTTGTAGGTCTTACTGGTTAGTCCTGTGATTTGAGATACATATTTGAAGCCACTGTAAATACTACCACATACACGTTATATCACTGATATCAAAGATAAATGTTTAGGCGTAGCAGAGAGGTTATATGCAAAAATGTGTGTGAAAGAAGCAGGTAATTAAACATTTAAAAATTAATTTTTAAAACAGTTGGATGCCTCATTGAAAATCTGACTGCATTGAACAAATCAGGATGAATACTCTGAAATAAAAAGAGTAAAAGTTCAAAAAAAAAAGTTCAGGAAATACACTTGTATATCTTGGTTTTCAGGTAGGACCTCACTGTGCTGGGATATGGAGAGTGTGGGGGCTGGATGGGATGAGAAATTTACTTCTCTTGTACTGAGATTGCTGGCTGGATGAGCAGACAACAGAAAAGAAGGAAATAATGAGCCTGGACTATAAAGTAGTGCTACTGTGCCAGCAACCTAAGTGCTGTTTATTTTTTGTAGGCAAATGATCAAGATATGAGATAAAAGCCTGGACAAGACTATTAATTTCATAGAAATTTATTAGAGAGTGTTTAAAAAAGAGTATCTGGAGTGTGGTGCTATTTTCAGGTTGGCCCGCAATCAAAGGTGAGGCTGAGAGTAGGGAATGGCCAACAGGTGAAGGGTGTCAGTGTGAATTGAGAAAGAAGGTAACAGTGAGGACTTGGGGTTTATTAATACCGTGAACTGTCACTGCCACAGCATGTTTTTGCAGAGTGAGATTGGCCTGAAATAGACAGGGAAAATATGAGCCCTGTTATTTTCAGGTGAGATTATTCAGAAATAAAAGGGATGAAGGTGGGGCAAAGATGAGTGGGGAGTGTTTCTAGCTTACCCCAGGAAGAGTATTTCCAGTTTGCGATTGCAAAGAGTGAAAGCTAAAGTAGAAATGATGAGATCAGAACTGAAATAGCAGATCTCTAGTCAGCATTTCAGAGCTGTATCATTGCTTGAACACTGTGCAGTGTTTGTAGAGGAACTGGAATCAAGGAGAGAAACCACGGTGTGCTTGCACTGGGAAAGATGGGTGGTTGGAAGAGAATGGGAGGTTGAAGAGAAAAAGGATGGAGAGGGAAATTGGGCTGGGTTTCCTAGAGCCTGTGTAGGGATAGGGGTAAGAGTTGCTGAACAACTTTTAGGCAGAAAATTAGTAAGGGAGAGAGGAATTAATATTACAGTTGTCAGTTTTCAGCTGATGTAGAGGAGAGGGTTTGAGGAGTTGCACAACAGTGACATGCATATGCTGTAAACTGCGAAAAGGAAAGTGAAAGAATATGGTCTCACGGGTGGTTGTCAGGAAGATCTGATTGTGGTTGTCGGAGGGAGCTCTGCGGCACAGAGAGACCGGCCAAATCAGACAAACTGATCTGCGCAGAAGATATGTCAACAAGCAGGGCAGCAGTATGGAAACTGAGTTTGCTGAGTGAAAAGGACTGGGGGAAGGGAGGGAGGGGCAGAAGCCGAAAGTGGAGGTCCAGCCACCAGCTTACTTAGTTTGGAGGCAAAGGTCCACTTTCTCTTTAAGTTGCTAAATAATAATGCCCTTGAAGGGCATCCAGAGATTCTTTGCGTCTTGATATATGAATTTTATAGAGATACAGCACGAGGCGTTTGAGACACCCTGTGTCAGGCTGCCGCACCGTAATTGGTTTTTGGACCTGCGCGCCAGTTCAGCAGTAGCTGTCCTCTTCGCTCTTGCAGCAGCTGGTCGGCAGAATAGGCAGGGATCACAGAAGGTCACACTGCGAAACCTGTGATGTGTTGAACTCTTCTGGTTAGACAGAATTGGAGGGTTCTTGACTAAGCCTCTGTTTTTTTGAAAAGTAGTGGAAGAGTCTCAAAGAAACACCTGCAGTTTAAAGCCACAAGCGTTAATGCGGTGCTTCCTAAATCACAGAATCGTTTAGGTTGGAAAAGAGCTTTAAGATCATCAAGGCCGACTGTTAAATCCGAATTGTCACAGTGTGTCTTACAGTACTATAGTTAGTCTCATCCAAAAGAAAATACCATCTTCTGTTTTAAAAGGTATATCTTCCACGGTGGAATACCAGACAGTAGAGTTGGAACGGGAGCTTGAAAAAGTGAAAAGCAAGAAAACGAATCTAGGTAATAAAATTTTATTGTACTGTTTCATGTGGATTGCAGTTTAATAAATGACCTTAAGATGCTGTGTTTAGCTTGTAGCAGTCACTTGATCGATTCCTGTTTGTTCTTAACTGAATTTGTGCATTTGCAGTCCTTTCAAATTGTCATAGTTTCTACAGATACGTTACATGGAATCATTACGCCCCTCTAGCAAACAAATTTAAGTAGGGAGTCTGATTTGGATCTTATTTTTAACGTAATTTTAGAGAAATTGTAACACTGTTGCCTTCCTTGCGTGGAGCTCAGTAGCATGGTCTTTTCATATATAATGATATACTTTTGATTATTTGGGATAATCTAAGACATTACTTTCCTCTCTGTTTTTTAATTATTTCTATAAAAGTCAAATTGTGTTTAAGAACAATGAAATAATTCTTAGCGGATTTGTGTCTTTTAAAACTGAAAAGTGATACTTCTGGTAATGGCAGCTACTCAACAGGAATCTCCTTACTTATTCAAAGGCTTGCAGGATTTTGCATTTGTCAGTGTTATGTGCAAAACTAAGACTGTGGTAAGAAAAAGTTATTGGGTTTTCTTTTTAGACATACTAGTGATGTCCAGTGAGTTAGTCTTGCCTTATAAGAGGAAAATACTGTTTAAATATTGGAAGTTCCCTTCTGTCCCTTTAGGTCGTACTAAAATATACATGTAAACAGCGTATTTTTAAACTCAGTATATTTTAAACTTTGCAGAACTTCTGTATGCCAGGGAAAAAAAATGTTCTGGTGAAACATGCCTGTAAACAAGAAAGAAAACCCTATTTCTCTCTGTCTCCCCAGCCTTTCTCTAAAGAGGCTTCATATTTTTGGCATTGCTTTGTACAGCTCTTCAGGGTGGATATTTTTATGAACTGGTTGGTGTTGGTTCACGATAAGATTACTTCTGTCACTTATAAGAAGAGCTTATAGATAGCTGAATGATTTTTACTTGTTTTATTCTAAGGTGATCTACAGTATTAGGCTTCTATTTTTTTCTCCTGAACAGAACGGCGGAAAAAAGCTTCTGCTTGGGAAAGGAATTTAGTCTATCCAGCTGTTATGATATTGCTACTGATTGAGACGGTAAGAGTTTTTGGTGTGTGTCCCCCCCCCCCCCCACCCCCCGCCCCTGGCTGCCCCCCTTTTCACCACCAAAAAGTATGAAGAAAGCTTCAGTCATTTGGGGGGAATAGTTTTAAAATTTGAGTGATGTGTGTTTAAGCAACAATCTTGATATTCTTTTCTTGACCATTTTAAAAGAACATTATGAAATCTGGTGAGGCTAAACATATACGTTTTAAAAGCGTGGAATACTTTTAAATAACAAGACTGTTTCTACTTCTTTATAGTCCATCTCAGTCCTCTTAGTTGCTTTCAACATTCTTTACCTGTTGGTTGATGAGACTGCAATGCCAAAGGGATCAGGGGTAAAGTAAACTTCTCTTATGATTTTTATAACTTTAGTAAAGCTTTGGAGCCCTTACAAAAGTGCAAATGAGAACTTCTGCTTTAATAACATTAAAACTAATGAGCCTCAGCCTTGACTTTGCTTCCAGGTTTTGGTCCTGTGCGCACACAAACATTTATTACATGTCATGTTATAGTGAGTTCTTAATAAAACTAGTCTAGAATCTTTATGAAGATACATTGATTCAGTAAAGTAAATCAGTAATCTGGAGTTTGCATTTTTACTCCTGTCTCCTCCTTTTATATGGACTAGAAATGTTCAATTTAAGAAACTATTTTAAAAATTAATATGAAAAGTCTGTCTTGGTTTGTGTTCCACTTCAAAACCATGACATTTTTCCCTCCTCTATTATAAAAATACTTAAAGAAAGTAAAGAACAGCACACTGAGTAGAGTGTCTTTAATCATGAGGGTTTTTTATTAACTTGGTAATGTTTTCCCCTGCGTATAGCTGTATATGAGCTTGCGGAGCTATAAAACGTGTTTAGTGGTGATGGCCACTCTGCCTGTGGTATTACGAACAACTAGAAGTGTCTTCTTCTGAGACCTCTTATTTTAGTTTCCAAAGTAATGGAGTACGTATAAAATACAGCATGGTGGGTAGATGCAGTGTGCATAAAATGTGGATCATTATACCTTATGTCGAAGTAATACATTTCACTCGAGTTTGAAAGCTAGCTGGTGCAATTGCACAGGGTGGGAGACTTGCAGCTTAGAACATCAGAATGCCCCTTAAATGTAGAATCGAGGAAAGGTTGTAAGATGTTAGGTTTTTTGGTCCTGGTAGAAGCTAACTTCATGAACACTTGCATGTGTCTTGTTAAATTATGCAAAGCATTTTTCTCCTTGTAGGGGCCTGGAATAGGAAATGCCTCCCTATCCACCTTTGGTTTTGTGGGAGCAGCACTTGAAATCATTTTGATTTTGTATCCTTTCTTTAAGAATTCTGTCTGTTAACAAGTATTCTGTCTAGTTTTCTGGGACACTGGTAATTTACTAAGACACTTGCCTGGAAAGAAGGAGGAGATAGGTCACTATTCTCAAGCACTCGAAGTGTTTTTGTTTTTTTTTCTTTGGTTCTTAAGACTTTTAGGAGGCTGCTGAGAACTTGAGTGAAACTTGCATTCCTTGGAGGTTCCTTTTTCCTTGATTCTCACAGCTATCTCATGGTATCCTCTGTCGTCGGCTTCTACAGTCTTCGTTTTTTTGAAAATTTCACTCCCAGGAAGGATGACACAACTATGACAAAGGTAAGGTAAAGTCTGTGATGGGGATGGCCCCCTCCTCTCTTTCTTGCCACCCAAGGCAAACTGACTCTTTTAGTTAGTAATTGCCCTGAATGGCTCATTTGCAGTGATCAGTATTTGTTTGTAAGCTGCGTAAACACAAACTGGAAGATTTTCAAAATGCTGAATGAGTGGGAAAAAGGATGTGCTCTGTTTAGTTTGGATGGCATCCATTCACTTGTAAAAAGCCGGGAATAGCAGAGCTTGTTAACTAGCTATAGAAAAGCTAGTGAAAGAACTTTTTTCAAAGGAAACGTATTGCTAATGAGTAACTTTGATTGTGCTAACTGTACTTCAGGGAGCTTGTTTGAAATCTGAAGAACTTGGTTGCTAGAAGTAATACAGACAAAGTAATTCAAATTTGAATAATTAAACTAAGACTGAGGAGGTCTATTCAGGAACGTTTTGCAGTCTGAGGCTAATTTGACTTTCTACAATTTAGCGCTGCCTTCAGAATAACAAATGCTGTTACCTAATGCAGAGGAACATGCTTACGTTTATTGCAAAATATTCCCACAGCTGACAAGGGGAGGTGATCAGTAACCAAGGAACAGATGTTGAATTTAATTATTTTTTCAATGTGTTTCATTGGTTGTGGTTTTTGCTTTTTTTTTTTTTTTTAAATAATGGATAAAGACATTTTTACCATAAATTCTTGGAAGTGAGAAAGTAGGTAAACACACAGAATGGTTATAGTAGATGGGTAGTAGGGAGTTGGAATGTTTTTAATGTTTTCTATTGATTGTTTACAGTACACCAGGAATTGTGTAGAAATAAATAGTGAGCGTACAAATGTCTACCTACTTTCAAGAAGTTTTCTGGTTTTTTTTCCTTTTGGATTCTGATAGAATTAGAGCTGAAGAAAGTGATCCCTTGTGAGAGAAAGTTTCAATTACTCTTTATAAAGGCTTCACAAAAACTAGAGTAAAATCTAACAGCTGTGAATTTTTTTGTACTATTTGAAGTAGTCAACAGGCATTCAATTGAAAGGAAGCTCTTTGTTGTAATTTTTTAAATAATGCTAATCCTGCAAGCAGTTACATACAAAGCTTAAGCTGATGTATCAGTCATCTATTCTAAGCCCATGGAATGGTTCTTTTATAAAAAGTTTGCAGGAATTAAGTAAACAGTTGATGCTTTGCAACATGGTAGTTTTGAATTATTTTGAATCTAAGCATACGTAACACTTTGATTAAAAGCAAATGATTACATATTTGATTTTTTTTTAACTAGTCTCTTGAGTCATCTTCATCTTGTGTAACACCATATGAAGTGTGACAGAAGTAGGCAAGACCTAACAATATGTTATTGTAAACTGCTTTAGGTTCAGTTTGAAGACCGTAACTTTTAAGAATTCTTCTTTTTCATCTTGACCACTGCATTTCTCCCCCTTTCCCCCCCTGCCCCCAGCAATCCCATTTATGATTTAAATGCTCTTTGTCATTTTCAAACAGATCATTGGAAACTGTGTCTCAATCTTGGTGCTGAGCTCTGCTTTGCCAGTGATGTCAAGGACACTGGGTAAGTGAAATGGAAAACATCGTAATATGTTTAATTGAGTTTAAAAAAATCAAAAGGAAAAAAGAACAGCCTGTAGCTGTACCTTTCATACTATGTATTTAATTTGCCATCACTTTCAATAGAAAGAGCATGTATGTGTGGCCTTCTTTTCTACACCAACATGAGCTGTTGAACATACATTCTACATACAGGAACTGCAGACCAAACATTCTTAAAAAAAAGATGCTAAGCATTTTCTAGAGAATATATTCTTTTAAAAAGGCAGGTCAGGTTTTAAAATTAAAACAGGAGATGGTGAGAAGAGTAGATATGGACCGTGCTTGTTCAGGGCAGTATAAAATAGTTTCATGTTCACTGTGAAATTACAGTGCTCAGTTTTTGTGAAAAAAAACACATTGGGGATTTCGGGTATAAAGTTTGAGATAACGTTGAGTGCAAATGTCTTTTTAAAAACAGTTACTGACTCTTCATTAAGTTTTTGGTCAGCAGTGATACCAAGCTACTTTCATTTTCCCTAAAATAATCTGCTGCATTCTTTGTTACTTCAGTTTTCAAATATAAAAGTCTGGAATCCAGCGCAGTAGAACTGAAAAGGTTCTGATTTTATTGGTAAGAACTGGCAGTAGCATTTGAAGTGGAAAAACTGTTTTAACCAGTTGGGAAGGACAAGGTGTTTTGTATCTTCACTTTGTTTAATTAGGTAATCTTCAACTTGAATTCTTGAAGTTGGATTGCAAGGCTATTACATGTTTAAGTAGTGCAGAATACTTGCAGCTAATGTGAATTTCATTGGGAACATTAAACAGAACAAAACAAAAATGCTCACCTCGGGCTATACGAGTCTTAAGTACAAGCTTAGGAGTTCAAGCTCAGGCCCACAGACCAGTAATGTGTACCCAGTACTGCTGTAGCTGGTTTTCTTTTCAGCCAGAATACTGTCAAATCAAGAGTAGTTAATATTTTCCGGTAAACTATACTGTATGTTTTCATGCTATGTATATCTACAGATTATGAGTTTTATTAGATTTATTAGGTCATTTCTATAACAAACAAACAAACAAAACCCTGTAATCCATTTTGGAGGATTGAATCTTAAAATACATATTCTAGAGCTCACGTTTTAAAAATCTGTAGGAAAACTTCACAAAAATGCAAAAGAATAACTCAAGTATTCAAAGTAGTGCAGTTTTAAAATTATAGCCAGTATGATAAAGATCTAAGAAGTAAAACAGTTCTAGCACTTAGAGCAAGATGTTATGTTGAAAAATTAATATTTTAGAATAGAATTTTAACATGAGTATTGTGTCCACTAAGTTGCTGCATTCATCATTTGTTAAAAAAAAAAAAAAAATCATTGTTAATGATCTATGAGATTAACAGTTGATAATAAACGGATTCTGTGGAAGTAAGTATACATGCTGGGTGCATTGTTGTCTCATAGGAAACAGATTAATGGTAAAACTCACTTAAAAAAAAAAAAGACTAACAAATGAAATTCCTGAATAGTTTGCCATAGAGATAAATAAAAGAAGAAAAAAGATGGAACAATTAACACACAGCTAACAAATGCACAGTCACAGCTGTCCAAACAGGATTAATAGAGTGTATTAGAGTACAGTGAGTCATGTGGTGCTTTGCAAAAATATCAACATGTGCTGCACTACATGCTACTGCCCTGTGGCACTGAATAGATGAAAAGAAATAAATATGTTAAGCAGATTCATGGTCTTTTCACTTTATTAAAAAAGCGAGTTTCTAGACTATAGAGAAGAGACTAGACTTCATCATGATGGGAAAGGTAAAAAAGCACAAGTTATCTAATGCACGTACTGACCTTTTTCAAGTTTTAAAAGTGGAAAAATGAGAAATTTTTAATGTTTCATAGCATTCTCATTAAATATGTAGGTGGTGGATGTCTCTATGTGTCATTCTTTTAGAACTCCAGGAAAGTTTTTACTACAGTAAGTTATTTTACTAAAATAAGTTAACTCATCTTTTCCAGAACTTTTCAGCCTTTTAGTAGTCATTCTTGAAAAAGTTTCCCACCAGCACCATACTGCCAACCACGGTGAAACAAATTGGGAACAGACCACTTAATAGCCAGGAATATAGAAAGAAGGAATTGCAAACAAAATTGAATTTTCCTAGAATTCTTCTCGTGATTATTATGGTTAAGTTAATAGTGATTTAAAACTTATTTGTATGTAGTCTAAAAGCATAGTATTTCTTTCTTTTTTTTTTTTTTAACCTAAACAATTCTTTAATATTGTATGTGGTAAATTGTCACCAACTTTATTGTATATATATTTGTGTCCACTAGAGATGTAGCTTTCTGTTCAGTTACTGAGTAGTCTTTGAAATTGCAGTCTTGGGAATTTTTTTTCTGTGGGCTGAGTAGGTATTTCTGTAAGAAAGTCGGCAAAAGCTCTTTAATCCTTTTCTCCCACAAACTTACGAAATGATGCTGTGTCAGATTTTTTTTTTCCTGATGAGCAGTGACTTTTTTTTTATTCATACGAGGAAAATAAATGTAACTTGTGGACACTATTTTTTCCCACCTGCTCTAACAGAAGTGTCAGGCTTCATTTTTGTTTCTCCTCATAACGCCTACTTCATCACTAGCTATTCTGAACCCCTTTGTGTCAAGGAATATTTTTGCTTTTCCAAGGAACAATTTGCTCAGTGCCGTACCTGTTTTGTTTCTTTTCCTTTAATGGTCTGGAAGCCTATGCATTCAAACTCGACTTTCTCAATTTTCTTGTACCTCTGCAGTCTGACTGAAAACATTCTCTGCTTTGAAAATATTCTGAAGGACACTGTCTGTTTGGCTTCAAGTGTGAAAGCAACTCTATTATCCTTCGTCTGTTTACCGGCTGATGCAGTCAGCCAGTTTTTTTTCTTCTTCTAAGACCGTCTGTGCTTTTTTGATACTTCTCCCTGCCTCTCTTGCTATTTCGATCAGCTTCAGCCTTTTTTTTTTTTTATTGGCTTTATCCTTTGAAAATTCGCCTTCTTTAAATTTTCTTCATTTTGGCATGTTTTTCTTGGATACTAAATTTGATTCCCCTATTTTTTTTTTTATTTAATTGACTGATGCTGAGTACAAGAAGCATGCATATCTTTTAGCATTCTGATAGCTGGCTGTAGCTCGTGGGTATGAAGGTACAAGGAGATTCGTAAGTGCCAGGTTTACCCTTGAAAGGAAGGTAACTGACCCTTAATTCTGTCTCTTCATTTATTATCACTGTTGAAGTCACAGTTCTTAAAAGCCCCCAAACCCTTTCAAAATGTGATGACAGAAAACTTGCTTCCAGGAACTTTAGGGTTTTCTGCTGCAATTTTAGTTCTGGGACGAGGTAAGCGTCCTTCCTTCGCACTCTTGGTCTCAACTGTGAGAGCGCATATCGCTGTGACATCATCTGTGCCAAAAGGTTTTTGGGAATATAGTGGCTCATCAATCCTAGACAACTGTTATTTGGGTATCATCCCAATATTCTGCCCTTTATTCACTGCAGTCCTTGATGTAGACCTAGCAAAGGAACAACCTATGGTTGTTGTTCTTCTGCCTTCTGGGATGGCCCCATAGCTTGTAGGCACTTCCACGTTTTGGAAAAATTTTGCTGACTTAGCTTTAGTGATTGACTAGCCTTTGGTCAGCCGGAAGGACAAGTGGACCTCACCTGCCAGCACTACCTTTCAGCCAAACTCTCTTCCTCCTGTGCAAATGCTCTGTGGCTGTAGTGGTGGGTAGATCGAGGAGAAAAACTGCAGCTGGAAAGATGTCTTTAAACTTCGGTTTCAAAAGCAGCGGCTCTGAAAAAAAAACACTCACACAGGCTTAGTGCTTGCTGTAAGATGATGTGGCTCTCGTGGAAAGGCTTTATGCTGCCTGTATTTTTTAATAAGAAAGCCCATGGTGCATTTCATCCTCTTCTGGAATAGATAAGGATTTCATAGAAGATGAGATTTCAAGCAGTTTTCATACTAATACTGATTTTTTTCAGAGTTATGTTTATTAATATTATAAAAGCAGGATTCTTATCTAAAATAGACAATTTACTTTAGCTCACATTATTCAAGTATTTTACTAGGAAACTTAAGAAACATTTTGATTGATAAATGTGTCTTACAGTTTTGTAGTGGTCAATGAAAGGGAAAATGACCTTGAGAACATTGTCTTTTGTGTTTAACCGTGTGTCTTACAGTGTGTTGTCTGAAACAATTTTGCTTCCATATGTAAAAAGTAATAGAACGACTTTTTTGCATTTCTTAAAAAATGTAATCAAGATTTTGATGTAAATCTTAAATGCAATTTTAACAGGAATCACCAGATTTGATCTGCTTGGAGACTTCGGAAGGTTTAACTGGCTGGGAAACTTCTATATTGTGTTATCTTACAACTTGCTCTTTGCTATCATGACAACGTTATGTCTGGTCAGAAAGTTCACTTCCGCTGTGCGAGAAGAGCTCCTGAAGGCGTTAGGTAATATAGCACTGAAAGTTCAGTTTGTACTTGAACGTTTCCTTTCTCCAGCCTTGATACCTTGATGTGCCACTGTTAAAGCTCTGTTGCCACTCACAGAAACCTTTTTTTCGTGGAAGTTTCTATAAGTTAAGGTTAGAACACATAGCTTTGTTATTTTTTGAAGAGTTGAGAGCTAAGGTACAATGTTGATCTTGATGATACGTCCGTGTACCTGTTGATCTGCAGGTAGATTTTCAGCCTTTAGAGCACAAACATTCTCATTGCTACTGAGCAATTATTCCAAAATAAAACTTCAACTTGTGTGTGGGTTGGCTTTTTCCTTTTGTTTTTTTTTAAAGTAACTTATTAATTCCCTAAAAATAGGTTAGTGGAAGTCTTAGCTGCTTTGCTGTGATGCTTTTTTTTTTTGAGCACTACATGTTCAGAAAAATCGTTGCACAGAATATACAGAATCTTAGTAACTGGCTGAGTAAAACCCGTACTTGATATAATAAAAATTCTGATCAAATTGTGCATTCATGTTTCTTGGCCATAGAAGAAAGGCTTGAAACATATTTGATACTAAGAGGGTAAAATGTACCTATTTAGTAATTGTGTTGTTACTACGTCTTGTCTTTATTAATTAATGAAGCTCCTACCTCTTTAGAACCCTAGCATAGTATTTGCTGAAATGGAGAGGATTAATGGTGAAACTTCAGTGTTTATTTATAACTGCAGGTTCTGTTTGTAGCGTACTAAAAGGTACTTACATTAGTTTTCACCGATTACCACTTTCCAGAGCTGTGACCCTGGTAAACAAAATCAAAGCACGTCCTAGAGTGCACCTCTACTGGTGGCAATTAAGTTCAAATCAGAGCTACTAAACAAGGAAATACAAAGTGCCTGATAGTGTAGGATTAAAACAAGCCGTTCTGTGATTTTTTTGATCTTGAGTTCTGAAGCTGCAGGGGGACAGATTAGTGGGCCAGGGGTGTGTAAATCTGTCCATTGATTTTTATGCTGAAAATATTTTCAGAGCAGTTCCATTGTAGATGGGGACAGATACATGATGCGAGTATGATGTATTTGATATTACCCCCCCAGCTTTTAGTAAAGGTCATTTTATGAGAAGACCTTGATTCATCTCTTTCAGTGGACTTGCATAATCCTATTTTTTTTTTTGTGCAACTGTTTTGAGTGTAAAGGGATTACTTTGTATATTGTAATGGCTGTTGCAGAGCTCTGAAGGAAATAAATTAACATCAGTCAGCATGGGCTTATAGCAACAGGTCTGGTAAAACTTTAAAGTTTCTGTCTTAAAGCAAATGATGTAAAAGATTTACCTTGGCACTTTACTGTATTAAACATATAGTGTTTAATAAAAAATTGTGTTGAAAGCAGATTAACAAACTTCAAAATGCAGGTGTAGTAGGATAATGGTCATTGGATGGCATCATTCTAGAGGATTTTTTAGGGATTTTTTTGGCCTCTTGCTATCACATATTGTGCAATTTCGTGTAAATATTGTGATCAAAATGGAGAAGGAAAGTCATTTGTCCAAGGCTTGCATTTGACACAAGCAGGGAGTTGTGAATCCTGAAGAGCACAGGTTCCTGACAGAAACTGGGTTTGCTTTCAAGGCTATGCATAACAAACAGTGTCTGTTAAAAACTGTCACGTGGAATTCAAAGAATGAGAACCAAAATTTGTGTGCTCATTTCTCCCCTGTGCTGAAAACTGTGACACCGAGGACTAGAGGCAGGTGGAGCATCATAGCTAATTAGCGGAAGGTAA